TGCAGCTCCTGGACTGGGGATTTAGCTCAATGATTCCACTGCCTGCCTTGCAAGCTCAAGGTCCCGAGTTCAATCCCAGGTACCAAAAAAAAAAAATTTTTTTTTAAAGAATGTTTATGAGGACACTGAGTTATAAATGTGGCAAGTAAGTTTAGTAAGGGTTAGTAACTCTCCAAACTTGAGCACCAGTCCTTTTAATATTCTGTGGAACAAAGTGGGACGTTCGTATGAGGTAGTTCTGCAGCTTAGCCAATTCAGACATGCATGGCTTACTAACCAGACCCATTCTGAGAGACGCATCCATCCTCAGGAGAGAGAGTCTCTGCACCCACGAGCATATCCTGTCCTGTCCTGTGCCCACAGCTCTGCTTGGCTCCCTCTCCAGGGAACTGGTGCTTCTAATAGTGGGCAATTGTGCGTCAGACCCTTCCTCTGGAACTCTCACAATGATCGACTGCTATGAGGTTTCGGAACTTCTGTTATTTTAAGAAACGTGACCTCACCAAGCAAAGAAAGCCCTCGTGCACTCGTGCCCCGTGCAGTCGGTCATGCTCATCTACTCACGCACGCGCTTGTCCCCCATCCACTCACTGGTGCCCCCACTCAATCACGCGTGTCTCCATTCACTCCCTGCTATGATTTGGACCTAGATGTCCCCCAAAGCCCGTGTGGATGAGGTGGGACTTTCACGTTCAGAGGTAGTTGCATCTGGAATGTGTGATGCTGGCGTTAAGGGCGCGTGATCACTAAACGTGCATGATTAGTTTGGCACTGCCACCCTAAGTAGTCTGAATAAGACAAAAGGGACAGAAAGACATTGGTGAGGTCTCTCTCTCTCGTTACCTCTGCTGGCTTGTGTGCGCCATGATGTTTTGGCTCTGCCAGGCCTGTTTGTCGTCCCTATCTTGGAGTCAGCTGATTGTGGACTGAAACTTCTACGAACTGCAAGCCATATAAACCCCTTCCCTTTTAATATCGGGTGTCAGGTGTTACATCTCAGCAACAACAGGAAGGTAACTGACACACTCACGTGGCCCCATTCAGTCACTCATGACTGCACGTATCTCACAAAGCTTTGTGGAGCAGAGCCTCCTACAGGACCAGCTGACGAGTCAGAAACTGACAAGTCAGATAGTATCTGCTTTCAGGGAGCTCTCACGGCTGTTCAGATGCACAAGCAACATCAGCGCACTGTGAGAAGGTCTCCAATGCAGCAGTGGGTGCTGGTTGCAGGGCGCCCCACCCCACTACTGTATTGTAGGGTATGTACCCTGGAACCCAATAAGATAGAGCTGGTAGACCCCTGTGGGGATAGGAGCTTAAAGGAGATGAAACAGCACAAACACAGCAAGGCATGAGTATGGCTTGTGGGGGGCAAGAGGCCCAGCAGAGGGGGACACCTGATGACGTGGGTTTGGCAGGGTCAGTGAGAAAGCACGTCGAACAAACCATGATTATTCACTCTGCAAACTCATCCCATTAAAACTAACCACTCTCTGGGCTGGGGATGTAGCTCAGTGGTTCCAGCATCTGCTTCACAAGCACAAGGACCTGAGTTTGATCTCCGGTATCAAAATAACAACCACTCTCAAGCTGGGCATGGTGGCGCACGTCTGTAATCCTAGCACTCAGGAGGTTGAGGCAGGAGGATCGCTGTGAGTTAGAGACCAACCTGGGCTACATAGTGAGTTCCAGGTCAGTGTCAACTACATAGTGAGACCCTGTCTCAAAAACCAAAACAATTCTCCTTAAGAAAAAGAGAAACCTAAATCGAGAAACAACTCCCAGGGCACCCAGAAAGTGCTTTTTGCTGTCACACAGTGTTTGGTGGACTATATCTCAAGCACTTCACCAGATGCCCAGGACCTTTGCTTTTGGTGGTGGTGTGTTTTTGCTGCATTTTTTCCAACAGCATCCAAAGGCTGATAGTCATCCACACAACATCACACCTCCCAAAACTAACCCACCAAAAACAAAACTAAATAAATAAATTCTTAAAAATGTATAAACTGACTCACTAGACCAACAGTTCCTTGTGAGAACTGAAATGAGCCGCTGACACACAAGCCTTGAGTTTCAGCACAGAGCTCATGACATTGTCTGCTGAGCCTGATCAGAAAACTAAGTCAGAAAACCACAACCACCCTGTATAATCGCAAAGCAGGACTTGAAATCCGCTTGTGAATTTAGAAGACCTGTGTGTGTGTGTGACCTTGTGCGGTGTTTGTATGTGACACGTGTAGGTACGTATGTGGTATGTGTAAGCACACACACTTGTGCCAAGCCTCCGAATCTCCTGCATGGACCCCTGAACTGGGGACCAGGCCTTACATGGCTTAGCCAAGAGACTCATTTCTCCTTAGAACAAAGAAATGTTGCATTTGGTGGTCGGGCAGGGTGGTGGCTCCTGGAGCTCAGGGTAGGGCCCACCTTTGGGCCATGTCTCTCTGTAGCCATCTCTTCAACCTTCCTCAGATGTGCATGCACACACACATATACCTATGTGATGTGGAGAAGGCCCTTCTGTTGCCGTGGCCAGGCTGTGGCCCAAGGGTCCCTTCATCCCATCCCACCATCCTGAAATGTCCTGTTGCTGCAGAGCCCACTCATCTCTAGAGATGTCACTTCATGAGTGGGGAAACTTTCACGGCAGCACTGGAGTTGCCACGAAGTAGCTGTGTGGTGAGGGTGGCAGGGGCTCTATCCACTCACAACTCTACCCCTCGAGGGTAACCCACAGTGAGCTCGTTTCAGGAGCTAGCGTCTGGAATCTCATCAGAACGTTTGTCATGTCCCCTCCCTCCCCTACTCCCTCTACACTTTTGGGTGCCACCCCTGAGGTGTGGACATCTGGTGAACACAGCATCCCCAGGCCCCACAGGAAACCTCTGAGGGGAAGAAAGACACCCTCTGCAGTGCATAAAGTGGTACACCTTCCCACGGGTGCTTATTCCACGCCAGTGCCTGGGGCCTTCACATCATACCAAACCTGGAGGCCCCCGGGGACACAATGTACCCGGGTAATGAGAAAACCATAAAACACATCAACACAAGCACAGAGCAATTACACCGGGAAGCCAGGAGGCACCTGGTATTAAGGAAAATCCTTAATGGATTTAATGGATAGTCCTTTCACTATCAATGAACAAGGTCAAGGATGCAGACAGAGGCTTTCTGTGTAAATCTTTCCAGGCTGTGATGTCTCCACACTGGGTCTGAGACAGACCCAAAACTGAAATAAGGAACTTAACCCACCCCTTTGTATAGTAGGTTTGCTGACTCCCATAGAGGAAAACGAATTTTCAGAACTTGTCAGAAAGAGGTGCAAGAAGAGTTTATTGGAGATTTAGGACCCACTCAAGAGCAGAGTGCAAGCACTCAGAGAACTGAGATGCATCATAGTTTGGGGCTAGGACCATTTGTATTTCTCTTGAAGGGGTCAAAAGTCCAGGAAGAGGTGCTCCCCCAAAAGGGTACTAGCCCCATTCTATAAGTATGGGCTTTTTTTTAAAAATAGGTATAATGGTGTGAATAGGTATGAACTCAATTTGCTGCACAATTCTGACTGCAAACTAAACTGCAAGAAAACAGAATCAAATCTCCCAATAAGGTCAAAATTGAACCTAACCATTCAGTTAGACTCAGTTCTCCTCCAACCCAGCAAGCAGAATCATGGAAAGAAGTTTGTGAAACAAGGTGCCACTGTAATTTAAATATTGTTGGGATTCACTCAATCTGCTTCTTTAGCTTAGGATCAGAGTCCTGCTGCTTACTTTTTCAAATAAGCCAATTTATGGACTTTTGGTTTTTCTGAAGAACTTTGAGTGTGATGGGTCAGGTAGGGAAGGAGCCCAAATTTAACCAAAAGAATGCTGAGATGGATACCTTGGGTAACTTTGGTTGGATCCTGGAAGTTGTACTCTCAAAAAAGTATAATTTTTAGGGCTGGGGATTTAGCTTGGTGGCACAGCACCTGCCTGGCAAGCAAGGGGCCCTGAATTTAATCTCTGGTATCAAAAAAAAAAAAAAGAGTATAATAGTGATGATTTCCTTTTTTTTTTGGCACTTGCCAGACAGGACTTGTGCTGCTAAGCTACATCCCTGGCCTTCATCTCCCTTCTACCTATCTTTTATTCCTTCTATCCTACTTCAACCAGACCTCAGGACACAAGGGGTATTAACATTCCAGTAGTTCTGGGTGGATAGTCCTGCCACTTCTGGTATTTCTATAATTTTTTTTAATCATTCATGTGTTTATTTAAAGTATTACTGTAAAATTAAAATGGGATTAAAACACACACACACACACACACACACACACACACAAGCTAGACTGTAATGAACACCTGTAATCCCAGCACTTGGCAGGCTGAGGCAGGAGGACTGCCACAAGTTCAGGCCAACCTGGGCTACATAGTGAGTTCAATGCCAGCCTGAAGGACATAGTGAGACTCTGTCTCTAAAAACAAAATAACAAAAAACAAGATAACCAAAAAAACCCCAACACACACACAACAAATATACAACTAGACAAGTTACCTTAAAAGGAACAATCTGTATTTCTGGGCTCTTCCCTTCCCAGGAGGGAGGCCACATTCCCAAGCCATCTCGTCACCCAGAAGCAGCAAGGTCTCCACGTTATAAAGTCCTAACACCATGAGTAACAGGCAACACACCTCCATTCTTTCTTTTGGATGAAAGATTTCAGACAAGACATGTAGGCTGTCTTGTAGAGCATAAGTAGAATTTATTGCAAAATGACCAAGTTTTTAGAGCGAGAGAGAGAATACACCTCCCATTTTGAAGGAGGGACAGCACCAAGAGGGCAGTTGCACTGGGTGAGGTCTTAGGTTATGTTTACATGATTAACTGGCTCTTTTAAGGAATATCTTTTCCTCCCTCTCAGGTCATTGTTCTTGTGTTGATCAACAAGGTCCCTATTTACTCTCTAGATAGATGTTTTCTGTTTCATTTGTTTTCGGATTTTGAGGTTTTTTTCTGATCCCTCACCCATGGTATGGACTTCATAGGATCCTGGATTATCCGCATGTTCAGAGGGTGTCACACTCCCTTGAACTAAAGTTTGGAATCACAAGCCTGTGTGGATTTTATCTAGAGCTAATGACTAAGAAAGCAAAGGATAAAAGAGAGAAAAAACCTTGTCTTCTTCGTTTTTGGAGGAGCCTACAGTGCCTACTAATATCTCTAGTTTCTGCCTAACAATCTCCATTCCTCCCTTGCATGTCTTCTGGGGTTCTAGCCCAGTGCCTGAGACACTGTACATGTCCTTACCCTGCTGCAGCCCAACTTCTCTGCTCTCTCATTTCATTCCTTTTTTTTTTGAGACAGGTTCTCGCTATGTAG